AATACTGTATGTGCAAAAGTTGAAGAAAGCTGACCTCCTCTGGTAATTGTTAGTAAACAGTTCGGGAAGATCCCATGGTCACGTGAATGTGAATCGGCAGGGGTTATGGAACATTACTGCCCCTGTTTGAGCTTGAAGACCGCTGACATTCGACACAGCCATATACGGGACGGTGGTCTGGCGATAGTTAACGATTACTCGGGCTTCTCATTCCTGTGCGTTTATGTACAAAAGTTCATGTGCGTACTTTCAATTTTTTTTTCATAAAATATCCATATAACGATGCTTACAATTCCATAGTTAAAGAGGCTCTCTTCTCCCCTAAATAAAGTTCAGGGTGGCACGGATGGCCTATATAGAGTTTAAACTGCTGACCTCTCAGCGCTGTGATCCAGGTTCGATTCCCGGGTACGGACCATTTGTGAGTTTGTTTGATGTGTTGTTCTCTCCCTTCCCACGAGGGTTTTTCTGGCGGGTTCTCCGGTTTTCCTCCCTCAGTAAAAATCAACATGTGAGGAGTGTTGTGTGCTATAATACTTAATGTAGAGATAGTGACTGTGAGAGTACAGGGTCCGCAGTAATTGGCTCCGCGAGCTGATGCGGTGTCCCAGCCCCAACAGGCAATTTGCATTATGGCGTAACTTTACTACAACTACCAGAKAGCCTTGCGYATTTTCATTGTTATTCAGATTTTTAATCCCCTTGGAGATTAATAAAACAATTGGCACTAATTGCACTACAAAAGAAGGTTGGCAAAGCATTCTGGTAGTTGTAGTAAATGCGACTACAAGAGGTAAAAGCTAATAAATTCATAAAATTACTGCTTACCTGAATGTTCAACCGTTGCTAAGAGAGATAAAATGTAAACTCTGAACTGCGCCCTTATCCACTCTTCACTTCCATCCCATCCTGAAAAACAATTCACAATACGTCCAGTATACGATGAAATTACTCGATTCTGATTGGTTTAGAAACAAAAGTACAACGCACACTGATTGGTTAATAGACCAACTGAAATACAYATTAATGCCCATGTAATTAAACGAGGCGTTTGTGTTTGAGTTTGCGCTTTCTTATAATCAAAAAAACATCTATCGAAACACCGAATTTTGAATATCATTGTTTGAAATCTACCAGCTTTTTAAATTCACTAATAAACTATTATAGCTTCAAACATTTCAAAAGATCAAATCGTGAGCACTTTCGCGACGCAAACTGATTTCAGCGACGAATAGCTTCAGGTAGCGGATTGCTCCGGATAGTGAGTAGATAACGAAGCTTTTTTCCGGTGTTAAATCATAAATTTCTTGATTATCTAATCCTTTTAACGCGTTATGAATTTGCAATTGTCGTACACATGAATTTCTAAAACAAATTAAGAATGTTCTTTTTACAATAACAAACTATAATAGAGCGCTTTCCGTTCATTTGCCTTTCAAASCCCGACTTTTCTCATTCTAATTTTCAACATGGGTTTTTTCGGTATAAAAAAGACATTAAAAATCAGAAATGTGTACAATCAAGAATATGTAGAAATGTCGTGAAGAGAGAAAAAATCCTTGCTGTTTTAGTAACTGAAGTAAATGTCATGGGAAATGTTACAAGCATGTCATGCATAGCAAAATAGTTTGCCATCACGTCTCCTGTTTCTAAAACGTTTAATGACCGAAAAAGATCAGTTTAATTAATTCGGATCTATAATGCGCCATCCTGCGGACATATCAGCTTAAGGGCAGAGTTGTTTTCTTGGATCTACCAATTCATTAACGAAGCGATCCTGCTGATTTTGTTGAAGAAAAAAGAGAAAAGATCATTAAATAAGTCTATATAATTAAGATAGCAGGCACTAATATACAAAAAATAATAAAAGCCATCGCGATTCCTTGAGTTTTACCGTATTTCAGTGTAGCTGGATCGTSAAAGGCAACGCCTTGGACAGAACTTGAAGAAAAAACAGTGGGTAAGCTATCTTAAAACAACTTATGAAGAAGACTCATGAACCGCGGGAGAGATTCCTTATCAATTAAAATGTATTCACAGTATTGTTATGAAGGAAATATTATTTACTTTTTGTCAAAAGCAGACTTAAATATATTTACCCTCTGAAGTGACAAACATTTTTCTTTCTCAGTTTTTCGTAATTGACCATCAAAATGAACGGCAAAGCGTTGCTGCTAGCTCTGGTTCTCGTTGGAGCTTGYACGAATGTCTCCAGTAAAGGTAAGACAAAGAAATTGTGTGTATTCGTAAGGTAGTTTATTGCCAGAGTTCATGAACATGAAGATTAGATTTTTCAAGCTACAAAGGCTGTTACAAAACATGTACATGCGTAAAACCACAATTTAGAAATCGATATCATTTCTCAGAAAAAAAAGTAACCGAGAACACTTTTTTTGAAATTTGTATACTTTATCAACGAAAATGTGAGCTTTGATTCTTTATATAATTACATAATTAACACATTTTATTCTATATTTGTACACAGGCCTTGGAGGTCGGTTTAAATTCTTGTCTAACTTCCCACCGGCACCACCTCCGCCACCTCCTCCTGGTATGGAAATGTTTACCATCATAATTTTATGAAGTAAAAATATAATAACCACATTTTTATGACTATATCGCATCTTAGACCTTTGGTATCACAAGGTGCATSTTTGCCTTGAGCTCTTTTGATAGGAATCTTGAATCATACAGTCAATTCCATTAACGTTGTCCAGTTTTAAAAAGACATAAAGACAACAACAAAGTCATTTCCATGTATCATACTTTTAATTTCTTTAGCAGAATATTCAACATAAAGCTCCAAAACTTCTTTACAATAAAATTTAATTCTTTATTTATATAAAGCTCAGAATTTCGGATTCCTTCTGCGAATTTTAAAAACCTATTTATGTAAATGACTTTGCTGTTGTCTTTATGTCTTGACAAGTGAATTGCAACGTTAATGGTATTGACTGTATAATCTTAGTCTGTACGGACGTGTCATTATCAGCTGAATCTGAGATGACATCTAATTATCACCAACATCGCAATGAACCATTCAACAATTCATTAGCATTTGTTTACAAAGTTACCCGGAGGAAAAATACGAGAGTTSAGATAATTAAATTTGCGTTCGAAAATATCGAGAACTTTTTAGCGAAGGACTAACTTATCATGATTTCTTGGTGTAACCAAAATATTGTTTTTAAAAAGTAAAAGTAAAAGGATTGCCATATTAACCCAATTTCAAACTGTGAACAAATTGGCTTACAATAAAACAAGTACAAAACACATTAAGAAATAGAACAGAATTAGTTTACTTCTAGCACGCGCCTAAAAGAATGCTAATTCTGGATTACTCAAGTGAGCAATGCCAATTYAATATTTAAAAAGATTAATCAAAGCAAAGCGCTCTAGAAATGTTCGCGCTTCCCCTGGAAATAAAATGAGCTTAGTGACCCGCCTATGAAACAGAAAAACGGTGCGAAAAAGCAATAATCTTGAAGTGCGCGCACGCGATAKCGATGTTAATCTACTGGAAAACTGTGCTAGTCATAATGCACGTAAAAATTAACCAGAGCACTTGAGAAATATTCCTGCTTCGCCTCGTTAGACTCTTAAAATCTCACTCAAACTAAGACCAGCATGAAACAAGCTTTCGTTACTAAGCTGAAAAAAGGCGGGAAAATCAATCATGACGCGCGCGTCTGGCCTTGTACGCCTTCTGGCGCGAAAAGATAATGATGACGCGCGCGCAACAGTCAAAATCGATGTCAGTCATTTCAATTCAAAAAAAACATCAAAACTCTTTGATTTTCAGGATGTATCCACAGAGGCTCTTTCTATGGAGTCGGAGAGGTGTTTACWAATAAATGGTGCAGTGAGTATTGTACGTGCAAAGATGTAGGAGTTACAGTTTGTCGTTCACTGTGTCCTGTGGAATGGGTGGAGTGCGACGAGGGACTACAAGCTGAGGTTCAWTATATACCTGTCATGGACGGGCGGTGTTCGTGTCCTACACATGTCTGCGTTGCTAAAGATTAATAGGTAATCACATATCGCTTAGTCCTAAATAGGATATTTTATGATGGTCGGACAATAATTGCAGATGAAAATATGATGATAATGACGATCACTGATTGTTTGAACGGTGGGCTGATTGTTTGATTGACAGATTGATTGATTACAAGGGATCAATATTAACCCCATCTTCTATACATTCTGTTTCAGGCAAACAAGACTTGTTAAGCAACAACTTATTAAATGAAGCTTCTAACAGCTAATGTGGTGTGGATATTGTTTTGTTTTGTTGAATGTTACAGATTTATTCATATTGGACCTGCATACCCTTCCGACAATAGATTTCTAAAACCAAATATACATTAGCCCAGGAAGAAAGTACCCTCGAAAGGGTATCATTCCTGTTTTAAAAGTTGAGRGKTTCTGCATTTYGTGCTTYAGCKYTGACACTGCCCATCCSAGGGTCCTTGTCCATTCATTGGGATCACGCCTGAACCCAACGAAGAGATAAAGCCCTGGKAAYGAGCCTGCTTGCTAGAGCAAAATTAGATGAAAAAACATCAGGGACATTTCCTCCAGTAAAACCAAGAATTTTTAGAATTCCCATAAACTACTTGCAGAAACACTAACATTTCTCAACCAACAGTCAAAATACTTTCATCTATTTCTATGTTTGTTTCTACAAACAAAAAATCATGCAAAAYGCCTCACCTGTTTCACTCTCTTCGTTTCCTTCATGGCCTTCTACATGCTGTACTATATAATCTGTAAACCTTAGATCGGCCAATGATAGAGAAAGATCCTCTTTGAGTTGTTGATCCAATATATCAATATTACTGGTYTCCAGCTACATAAAAACAAACAAACGTTTTTTATAATGATTTTTTTGACCCWTAGATTGYCTTACAATTTTGTCCTCCCCACTCCCTTGGAATTCTAAAATCATCGAGCCCCTCATCCCCCTTGGAAGTCCAAAATTGAAGACCCTGTCCTCATTTCCAAAATGCTGCCCCTCATAGGGGTATGAGTATTTTCTGGAGACACCCAATAGAACATCGAGKGTGCAAGTCTTGCCCATACAAATCCTTATGAAGAATTTTTTCAATTTTTTGTAGCCAGTCATTTTACATTCCATTGTTGTCATTACAACATACTTACGTCAATGATGACATCATACAGCTGTCTTTGATGTTGATACAAAGCATTWGATGCACCAATAATAAAACTGTCCACTTTAGGGCTTTTAATGGCATCCATTTGTTGTAAGCAAAGATATGGATGGAGAATTGAATTCTGTTGGAAAACAAAACAAAAAAGGTTTACCACAAAAAACCCTCCTACCACTACAAGCATTGAKGAATGATATGTTTTAGTATTACCATACTAGTGGACTATTGMAAATCCCTCGTTCTGATTGGCTACGCTACTCGGGGTCTATTTTCAATAGTCCTTGACTAGTGAAAAGCRACAACTTTTTGTATATTTTTAGCAATAAAAACATTTAGTTATTTATATATTTCATTCATTTTTTGTCCAACTAGTATGGTAATACTAAAACACTTAGATCTCTCGGCCTYGTGAATCTAATTGTTAAGTAGTAGAGAACTGCATAGGAGACCCACTGCCATTGATAAAGTATGAAATTTTGAGATTGGGAAAGGAAATGAAATATCCTTCAGCTCTCCTTTCATATCATTAATGAACTCTTTCTTCACTAGATGATGTCCTTTCTTAATTTCAATTGTCTTGAAGCAATGTTTGAAGCAAT